TCATAATAATAATATAATTACAGTATCTAACAATTTCTAATAAAATTATAAATATAAACAATAATAAATATTGATCAAAGATAAATTAGAAACTAACAAATAAGTTGAACACAAATATGAAAATAAATACAAAATAAAAAAGGCAAATGAGACAGGATAACAAAATAACAAGACATTAGACAGAATACCAACAAAAGAACAAAATAGTAGGCAAATTTTGACCAAAGATTGAAACAACAAATCTTGACTAACTAGTAAATAATAGCCTGACACTAGGTAGAAAATAAACAAGATGAAAACTCTACAATTTAAACAAAAATGTTTTAATGTAATCATGGTGCATTCTCACATCTTTTATGATAGTCATGTGATTAAATCATACACCCAAATGGTAAAAGTAGTCAAACTTTCAAACTCACAAAATGTCAACAGACAACGGCCAAAATGGTAATGCCCAAATGAAGGAAGATTATACCTTTTGGTGGTTATTGACATCATAAACTCATAATCATAATTGGAAGCTTAATAAGGCATGTGATCCTAACATGATTCTTTATGAAGGAAAACTTCATTCTCAATCCAACACTAAACACACGCACATGGGTGGGGGCATGCGCTTTACAAACCAAACACCTCAAACAGGCAGCCATTCCATTTTCCATGGCGGCCGTCTGCTCCCGGGCCCGCTATCAGCAACCTATCACACGGGCGCCACCGCCTTTCCTGTGCCCGAGTCAACAACATTGGTTTACATACACATTGTCGGATTCCATGCTCCAATCCAGCCACAGGCCACAGCCATTAAGACATGACCCCTAGAATTGCAAGAACCAGTAGGTTAGCAGACAGATACTATTATCTACCATAAATACAGTTCCTTAAATTCGACCCCTTGTCCCATAGCCGACAATTTTATACATTTTCGAACAGAGCTGTTAAATTCACGCTTAACTGTATTTATTTACATGTAGTAAATGCAAGTAAGCGGAAATTTAACAAAATTGATGGTACAATTAAAGGCGTGAGAATTCTGATTAGTAATAGTCCACAGGGGTGTCTTGACATCTTTCATCTGACACGGCTTCTCTTTTAAATGGTGGTGGCACGTATGGTGGGGATGTACATCTCAACAATGCCCAATTGACACCTTGGAAGAAGGGATGGTGCCTGATGGCTGAGGCACCCATTATGGACCCTAACCGCCTTGCTGGATCTTTAACAAGGAGTTGAGAGATCAAGTCCTTAGCCCCGACAGGAATTACGGGTTCCTTGGGGAATTCGAGGGCTCGAGCCACAATATTAGCTAAGGTTAGCTCATGGTCTACCCCCTTGAAAGGTGTAAACCCATAAAACAGTTCAAATATAAATATCCCTAATGTCCACCAATCCACGGGGCTACCATGACCCTCACCGGACACAATCTCCGGTGCCAGGTACTCGTGCGTCCCAACAAATGACATGGACCGGACATCAATGGGCTCGGCAACGAACTCTGGACCGCGACGGTTGCCTGTCTTCTTCTTCCGTTTGCGTTTTGGATGGAAACATGATACAGCAGGAACGATGCAGTTGGGAAGAATGCATGAGGAGGAAGTGAACCGAGGATGATCCATCGGGAAGTCACCCAGTGGTGGTGCAAATGGTGGATTCTTATTAGAAATTACCTGGGGTGTTGATACGGAATCATCGCATTTTAACGAGAGGTCGAAATCCGTGAGCATAATGTGACCGTCCGATCTAACAAGCACATTTTCAGGCTTTAGGTCACGGTAAACAATGCCCAGCATGTGGAGGTACTCCAAAGCAACCACAACCTCCGATGCATAGAACCTGCAAATACATGGAAGGAAGACATGGAATAAGATATAACAAATAAACAAGATATAATAAATAAACAAGGGAAGCAGCTGTCTGTAAATTAATCAGTTCCACTTCTAATGCTATCAAGTTGATTAAGATAATCACATTCATAATAATAATATAATTGAGACAGGGTCCGTCGACATGAAGAAAATAGAAAAATGATCTTTTCTCTTTCCCTTTTTGAGGAAATTGCATAAAATACCATTAGCAACAAAATAATTGAGATGCTCTGACTGTTGTCATCTGTCATGATCTTTTGATCTGGTTACCAATGAGACATAAGGACCTACTAGGATCATTAGTTACCTGATTACAAAAAATTAGATTGCTTTTATCTCGATCACATTATGTACACCATAAGGGACCTATGTGTTTCTGATTCTTGCTAATCCCCTCAAAACCTTCTCGTGCATTAAATAAAGTTAAGAAAAAGGGGAAAGCAAATCTTTAGACTTAGTTGAGAAATAAAGTAATTTCAATTCTGAACTCGCTTCCACTTATTGGACTACAGCGTCTCGTTCCTTTCCTAGATGTCTTCTACAAGTACAAGTAGTTTTTTATGTATGTGAATCTGATTGTTTTATAATTAATATAGGGTGGTTGCAAGCATTAGTACTTGAATTTGTTCTTAAAGACAACCAGAATATAACTAGAAACCATACCTGACCCACAAAACTAATTTATCCAACTACTAAAAATCAGAAATAAGAATTCATTATCAATGATGTAACTACTCATCACCAAATTAATTAGCCTTCAAAAGATTTGTTGTCTCCTCAACAACTCTATTGCTAAAAACACAAGTCAACAACTTACTCTAATTATCGGCTTAGTCAAAAGGAGGGATTCACCTTATTTTCTTCATCGTTACTCTAATTATCAACATCTTGAAGGTTCTATAGAATCCATTATCTACTTGTTTGTCATTTCACAATCATCCAACGTCGGTGCACTTGTACGCCAACAAAAGGGGAAAAAGGAAATTTTATAATTTGATGGCCACTTAGCCAGTATACTTTCTATAAATATAGAGCTACAAAGCAGAATAAAGGGCCAGCACTATAGATGAAACCTTACAATTGTACAAAGAAGTAAGAATCCCAGAAATTCAGCAAAAGATAAAGGAGTCAGATATTGAATTCGGATGTTCTGGGGAGGAGCAAAAGAAAGGCTTCTTGCATGGTTAGAATTGAAAGACATTGTCCTAGAAAACAAAAAGAAGAAAGAAGACATTATTGTCTTTATTCCTCACTACCTATATGATGTGCCAGAAGAAAAGTCCACAAACTATTTGTTCATGGACCACATTTTTAATTATATATCATTACCCATACCATTACTAAAACTAACTTTGAAAAGGACAAGGTACCAAATAGAAAAGAAATGATAGTGAAGTCAATAATTTGTATCACTTCCCTCTTTTTCTGAAACATAAACGCTATATCAACCAACTCTTCGGTTCCATAAAATCAAAACAGCCCAACAATTTAAGCATTAAACATTGAAGTTGAAATAATATCGGTACGGTTCTAGATGATTAATCCTCAATATATAACACACAATCAAATTAGTGAAAAAGATTCTCTCTTATAAGTTGTTAGCATTGCACAATCAAAATCCTAATGTATAATGCAAGATTCAAAGTCTCTAACTTTAATCTCTGTAATTAATTTCCTAGTATGTGTCACTATTCCCAACATTCCCTAATCATAATTGAACTTAATTTGCCTACAAAATGGATACCTATATAGAAAATACAAGTGGTACTGGTGCATTACATAATGAATGGTAGCTGTCATGACAAGTCTTATGACATTGCCATGTTTTTGAGCTGTCCCTTCCTCCCTCACCGCCATTATATAGCAATTAAAATTCCCCTTGGCACGAGAAAGGATGCAGCGCATTTATGGGGTTCCTTCTACCCAGAAAATTTACAGGGAGCCAACCAAAAAAAAAAAAAAAACTCTAGCAAAGTGGTGAAATTGTGTCGTGCAATATTTTATGCATTAAGGGTATTAGAGAGAGCTCGGAATATGTGTCACGGAATCATTGGTTCGATATTCTTAAAAAAATAAAAGTCAACGTATGTCTCCCCGCAACTGTTTGCACAGCGACGGATCTACCGTCGTTAGTCTCTCCGTTAATCCTGTCGCCTCGGTTACAGCGACCAATAAATGGGCCCCATTCCCCGTACATCCCTCCAGGTGGTGGGAATGGACTGAGACTCTCTCAGTCCCTTCTCTCAGATCCACCACGCCCAAAATCCCAGAAAGAATTTTAAAAACCAAACTATTCAAAAAATATATTTTATTTAAAAAAAGAAAAGAAAAGTATGGATATTTAATAATAATTACGCAATAAATTTAATAAAATTAAAATTTATATTGTATTTTATATGTGTAATAATTATTTAATAATTATAATTAGAAACCAACTACAGTAAATAAAATTATTAAAATACTTGAAAAATAGAGAGGCGTACCTCACGGCGGATTCGGCGAATCGTTTGAAAGGTTGGCGTTGCCGGAGAACGTGGAGGTCGCCGCCTGGACAGAACTCCGTCAATAAGCAGAGCCACTTGGGAGAATCGATGGCGGCATAAAGTGAGGGCAGAAAAGGATGGTCTAACTGCTCCAGTATTTCTCTCTCGGTTTTAGCCCTCTCTTCTTTGCTACGAGCAGCTAACTCTTTCTTATCCATCACTTTAGCAGCGAAAAGAGTACCGCTGTTTTTAAAATCGGTCTTGTTCTGACCGCCATTATTGTTGTTCTCGGTTGACGGTGACTTAATCTCTGTCAAGTAGACTGAGCCGATGTCGCCGGAACCGAGGCGGAGGGAGAATCGGATGTCGGAGAGGGAGAGAGAAGGGATTGGCTTGGAGGAGAAGGAACCGTGAGCAGAAGGAGCGAGGGAGGAACAGTAACCGGAGCCGGAACTGGTGCTCCGTTTGATGGTGGTAGTGGTTGTTGACGTGGAGGTGAAGCTCAAGCTCTGCAGATCGTCGGCTAGGTCGTCGACCCACGGCTCCATTTCGGGGAAGAGAGAGGAAGGACCGGAAGGAGGAGATTAAAGAGAGGGAGAACCTGAATGAACTAGTAGTAGACTGAGAAGTCAGAAATGTTTTTTTGATTTATATTAGAGGAAGGGATTGGGCCGGGTTTTTCGGTTGGGACCGAAGCTGGGATTTTGCGGGAAATTGTGGGCCTCATAAGAGTTGTTTGGGGGATGGGAAATTGGGAAGCACATAAACAATGGACACCAATTCTAAAAATTCTCCATATCAAAAAGACAAGGAAAAGATTAATTACCTGTTGACGTGAGTAGAAGTTTGAGTATTATGAATGAAAAAATATGTGTTGAAAAGATTTCTTTTAATAGGGTTTGACGTGATTTAATTTTGAATTAGTCAAATTTAATGTAGTTATCGAATGCTAAGAGGTTAGTAAAAAAAAAACCTTAAAAATTCCAAAAAAAAAAAATTGATCTCCAATCAAATTTAAACCAACTTGTGCAACCTATAATTAAATTGTTTTAGAAAAAAGGAATTAAATGATTTTACGTTTACATTTTTATTTTTGGTACAAATATCAAGTATTAATATTAACACAAAATTTAAATTCTTTGATAAGGAAAGACATTAAGTAGATGAAAAGCAACGAGTGTTGCTTTTTACAGGTTTGTAGTTGTAATTATATATTAATTTTTTTAATTTATATAATATTATTTAAAAATATTATTTTTAGTATAATCTATTTATATAATATAAATAATAATTGATAAAATAATTAATTTTTATTATTTAATAAACTAAAATTAATTTATAAATATACATTTTAAATAAAAATATTATAATTATAATATTATATAATATTATAAATTTATAATTAATTATTTTTTATTTATAATTTAATTATAATATTATATGTATTAATTTATTTAATATTATATTATTTTTTAAAAAAATTTTAAACAATTACTTGAGATGAGAGAATTCAAGTTCCAACCTATAAATTAAGAATGCCTTTATAATAAGCATAGGGTCGTTGAATCACAAGAGTCAATGTCATATTATATATTTTTTTTATCAAGGGTAATTTTTAGAGGTACAGGGATTGAACGAGCTTCATGGATTAGATGATACATATCATTATTAAACGATTTATAAAGTTAAGTGTGTGTAAATTAAGTGTGTGTCATATTATATTTTATTTAATATTATATAAAATTATAAATTTTAATATTATAATTATAATATTATTATATTTTAAAACATTATAATTAATCATTTAAAAAATTATATATTAATAAAATATTAACTAAACTAAACAAAATTTATATAATTTTAATAAAATGATACGTCAGTATAACCACATCCACACTTTGTGTCCATCGCCACGGCCACGGTTGCCCAGCACCATTCAAACTTTGAAAGGTACTACTACCCACCCGGACCTCCACCCTTCTTATCAACATTATACTCCTAAGACATAAGAAATGCCCCCATGCTAACTGATTAATTCTTTTTGTCATGTCAATAACTTAAATAATTTAGTTATAATTTTTTTTTGTTAAAAATAAAAAATTTTAAATTTAAATTATATGATATACGAATAAAATAAAAAAAAATAAAAAAATTTTTATTATGTAATTAATATAAAAAAAAATTCCACTTGCCATGTGCATTTCTAATATTAATACAAAACGCAACTAGACAAATGAACCTGATTGTGGATAAGAAAGCAGAATCGGTCCTCCTCTAATTATTAATAATTTTGATTTGATTGATATAATCTCATGTCCCAGAGGTCACTGCTTCTCTACATATGTTTTTTTGTACTAAACCCATCAGGACACAAGCATTTGTCAATGAATTTAAAAGATGATATAATATTATATCCATTCACTTTTAACGAGTCACATTCATCTGGACTTAAGGACGAAGAAAAACAATAAAAGTTAATTCATTTATGTAGGAAGGGACCGACCCTGTATGTTGCTGTCAATGCAGCACGTGTACAAACTTAGACTTTTTTTCTGCATTCTAACACTGTTATCTTTTTTGCTTCCTCAATTCATATGTATTTCGGATAATTTGATATGAATTCATTTTTCATTTAATTGATATGGTATTAAATTATAAAGATTTTATTTATTAAATAAAAAATATACATTAATTTTGATTATTAAAATAAATTAAAATTTTAATTTTAAATTATATCATTTTATTAAATTAAAA